TTGTGCTCAGGGCCCCAAATAACCCCACCCTTCGAGTGCACAAAGTCTCAGGCTGCACTTTATAGAAGTTTAAGGAATAGCTGGAAACCCAGTTGGAGACAAGTGTAGGTTGGGTGAATGGCTGTGAACAAAGCTGATGCGGCTATGGTGATGCTGAGAAGAAGCGAGCACAGAGTGGGAGGGGCAGGTGCCCCTACTCTCTGCCATGTCAGGCCATACCTGGGATCTGTGGTCAGCACCAGGCATCACCCAGCAGAAGGGGAAGTGGCAAATAAAACTTGTGCAAGAGTGCGGCACCCAGAAGGAAGGCTGGGAATTAGAAACATGTCATTGAGAAAGAGCTGAAGGCATGGGAAGTTCATTCAGATTTACAGGGCACCTGGTATTTGTGTTCAGATGCTGGAAAGGGCTTCTACTACTACTACTGCTACTACTACTACTACTACTACTACTACTACTACTGCTATCACTGATAGTATTTGATCACATGTAGTCAGTGCTTACTCTGTGCCAAGCTCTATTTTATGTACTTCACATGTAATTCTCAAATTGCCATACAGCGTACATACCATTATGATCCTCATTTTATAGATGAGAACACTGTAAATGGATTATGAATTGTGAATTTCATTAGAAGGTAACGCAAGGAAATATGATGCTTGTTACCCTGAGGCAGGTTGAGTAGGAGGAAGTGTCGGACCCGACAAGGAAGAGCTTTCTGGCATAATAGCCCTCCAAAGGAAGGTGGAAGAGGGTGGAGGGAAAGGAAGAAACATAGTATGCATTGAGCATCTACCATATACATTGGGAGCTCCCCGTGTATAATTTTAGTTAAACTTTACAACAACTGTGTGAGAGAGAAATTATTATCCCCATTTTACAGATGAGGAAATTGAGGCCGAGACAATAAATAAATCTGAGAACTTTCTACCGTCAGTTGCAGTCCTGATTTGAATACAGATATTTTTGGCTCTCAAGTCCATCATCATTGCTGCTTAGAACAAAGGTGGAGGTGCCCAGGTGGTCCTGGGGCACAGATACCAAGCTGGCTCCCCCTGCTGTACACTTCCATATCAGCCTGAATTTCACAGATTGGTCACAATCTGACATTCTCCCACTGGTAACAGTTTTATTGCTTGTTTCCCCCACTGGACTGCAAGATCCACGTGGGCAGGTGCTGCATCTATCTTGTTCAGTGCTGTCTTCCCAGGGCCAAGGGATATTTGAAATAATGAATAAATACCAGTAGGGATTGCTCATTAGGTGGGACAGGGGAAGTTAAAATGAGGATAATTAATTATAATTAACTTCCTGTTGGGATATTATAGGGAGATGCTTGTGTTAAATCAGGGATGGATTATCAGTGGTTCTAATCCCAGCAGATCTTCAGAATTACCTGAGGGATTTTTATACACATAGATTCTTCGGCCCACATCAGACTCTCAGAATCAGACTGTTCGGGAGCAGTCTGGTATCTGTATTTGGCAACCTCTAGTTGATTCTACAACATGTCTAGGGAAGGGACTCCAGCAGGTGGGTCTGAAGTCTAGCTCGTGATGCTAGGATTCCTGACCCCACATCCTCTGTCCCTGGGGCTCATGTCTCTCCTCCTGCTGCCTGTGCCCAAGCTTCTCTCTGTCAGCTGGGCTTCGAGGCCAGGCCATGCTTGAGCCTGGAGTCCAAAGGGGGGTCTGGTACCGAGTCAGGTGTGGGATCTTATCAGCTGGGTATTTACTGGGCAAAGTTCAGCCAACGCAGCGCTGCAGATCCGGGTTTAACAGATACCCAGGCTTCCGGGCCTTTGATTCAGAGCCCAGGTCCCTGGGGTCCTTATCGGTGGGTGATAATGGGCTACCCGTGTGAGTTCTAAGAGCCAGTGCCTCTTGCCACTCAGCTGACCCAAGCCTGCCTTCCAACGGCCCAGGGTCCCTAGGCCCCAGGCTGCCTGGGTGGGGAGATTGTCACTGCTCAGGCATGGCTGCTTTTGGCTTGTCTTCCCAGGCCGGGAAGGGCCCTATGCTGTGGCTCATATCTGGGTCAGTGCTTTGGTATCCTGGCTTTGATGATAAGTGGGAAATGAAACCTTCTCTCAGCAGCAAGGTGGACTCCTCTGACCCTGGGGCACATAGATCACCATTGGTTATTTGTCTCATGTCCTGGGAGACACTTGCTTCAGCCCATTCCTTCTAAAGGTCCAGTAGAGGCGAAGGGGAGACAAATGGCAGCACATTTTAAAGAATTGCCCCAAATCAGTTAATCGGCAAATAGCTACTGAGCTTATGGACAGGTCATTTGGGTAGATATAGAGAAACAATGAGGAGTTTATATTGTAGTTGGGGTCATAAGAAATTTATACCCAAAAGGATAACTGATTATTACATAGCAGATGAAAAGTTTATTGAATACTTACTCGGTACCTCATTTTATACAAAGAATATACTGTATTTCCCGTTTACTATGTCAGGGGTTCCTCATATTCCTTTGTTGAAGAAATTGCAGGTGGAGAGGCACAGAGAGATTTAGCAGCTTGCCCAGGATCACACAGCTAGATTGTGTCTGGGGCATGATTTGAGGCTTGTGCCACCTGACTCAGAGTCCCGGCTCTTACTGCCGTCCTCTGCTGCCACCTGTGATAAATACTGATCAGATCTGGAAATGTTTGAAAGGTTGTAGGATGTAGAAACTCCATGGGCAGCAGGGGTCCTGGGTTGCCCTAGTCTTGGGTCGGGAGGAATCAGGAGGTTGAGACAAGTGAGAGGGAATTCTGAGCATGGAAAATTTCAGGTGAAGATGGGGACGTGGGTCATGCAGGGGACATGTAGAGAAGTATAGACAGAACTTCTGTCTTGAGTCAGGGTTTAGGTAGTGGTTAGAAGAAAAATGAGTTCTGATCCCATTGTGGAGGCGTTTCAATTCTAGGCTAAGGAGCTGGGCCTTAATTGTCTGGGTGCGGGGGAGCCAGAGAACGTTTGGCGGTGGGAGGAGTGACAGTGCGAGGAGAAATATTCTAGGAAGTCTCCTGTGGTCTTCTGGGTTCAAGCACAACCGAGGGGAGCAGGCAGATTTTTGAGGAAACAGACACTTAGGGGTGGGAGCTTGTCTGAGGGGGACCACGGGCTCCAGTGACATTGCTTTTCACAGCCACAGCTCCAGAACAAGCCCCGGCCGCGCCCCGGCCGTACCAGGGCGTCCGCGTGAAGGAGCCGGTCAAGGAGCTGCTGAGGAGGAAGCGCGGCCACGCCAGCAGCGGGGCGACGGTGGCACCTACCGCGGTGAGGGGCTGCTGTGGCTGGTGTGGGGGGGCGGTGAAGGGGTCAGGCAGGAGTTTGCTTCCTTGCTCCATGCGATACTCACTGGGGGCATGGAGGCAGCACTTTGCATGGTGAAGGCTGCTGGAGATGGACCTAGGGTGGAACAAGTCAGTGGTCCCTGGAGGGATGGGTGGCTGGCTGGCTTGACCCATGGAACAAAGCTACTGTCAAGGCCTGAGTGAGCGAATGACCCACACACCTGGGTATGAGTTGGGGGCTCCCCTGGGGAGAGAAAGACACCAATTCCCTAAGTTCATAGCCTGGCTAAATGGAAACATAAATCCCCGAAAAGTGTAGGTGGTGGTGGTTGGGATATGGGGTGGGGTGTTTTGTTCTAACAAGGGAAATTCTTACCCTAGACTCTCTTGCCCTGGGGTCCCCAGTGAGTTCGCTGCGTAGGGCTAGTTGGAAATGGCTCAACCTGATCCTGGTCTTCTCTTCTCCCCTCTAGGTGGTGCTGCCCCATCAGCCCTTGGCGACCTACACCACAGTGGGTAAGAGCTCCCCACAGCCCTGGTCTCCTCCAGGTCTGTCATCTGGGTGTGGTACCTGCAGTTCTGTAATCTCCTTCTTCCCACAGGCCCTTCCTGCCTTGACATGGAGGTCTCTGCTTCTACAGTTCCGGAAGAGGGGGCCCTGTGTGCCGGCTGGCTCTCCCAACCGGCCCCGGCCACCCTCCAGCCCCTGGCACCGTGGACACCCTACACCGAGTATGTGTCCCATGAAGCTGTCAGCTGCCCCTACTCAACTGACATGTATGTGCAGCCTGTGTGCCCCAGCTACACAGTTGTGGGGCCCTCCTCAGTGCTGACTTACGCCTCCCCACCTCTCATCACTAATGTCACGGTATGTCACACAAAGGCAGAGCTGTCTCCCCCCTCCCCCATGCTGAGGGAACCCTTTTAGAACCAGGGCTGACTTCCTGCTATTGACTTCCAGGATAATCAGGTCACCAAAGCCCACTTATCCCCCAGGGAGGCCTGGTCTTATTCCCATTGACCTGAAATATCTTCCACAAAGACATCTTAGGGCCTCTCTTCTTGTGTCTTGGGCTCCTCAGCGTTGAGAAGGCCTTTTGCATCTCTGTTCTAAATCTCCCCAACTGCCCTGTAACCAGTGAGTCTTGGTTACAAGTTGGAGTTTTTGGTAAATGGGGTACCAGATGAGATCTGCGTAGGGTCTCGTGCCAGAGCCAGTTTTTTTATTCAGATAGCTTAGGGAGTGATCATTCGCTTAGCAAATGGGATTTACCAGAAGATTTCTAAGCTTAGCAACAGGTGATATCACTTTTCAGAAAACTGTGTTTTTGATGGAGACAGACTCATCTGTAGGTTAATTTTTTTGAGTACTGTCTCCAAGTCAGATTGCCTGTGTTTAAATCCCTGTCCTTTCACTTACTAGCTGTGTGACCCTGGGCTGAGTGACTTAACCTCTCTGAGCCTCGGTGTCCTCATCTGTAAGATGGTAATACTAAGAAGAGTGTTGTTGCCAGGGTCCAATGAGATAATGCATGTGGAGGGCTTAGCACAGTTCCTGGTGTACAGAAAGCACACGATAAATGTTGGTTATTATCATCTTATCAAAGTCTGCCAAAAACGTTAGCAAGGGCTGCCTTCAGGTGCCAGATAGGGAAGGAAGGAGCTGCTCCCCCAGGAATGGAGGAAGGAAGAGAAATAGTTTTATGCAGATGGTGTCTGTTTGACCAAAGGAATGGGAATCTCTCAAGTGTTCAGGGGAGACAAGGGCTGCGGTTACAGTTGTTTTCAGCTCCAGTCCAGGGAAACTGTGGGGAGTAGAGTTGGGACCTCAAGTGGTCACAGAGCCCACCTCAATGAGGGAACTTTCTTTGATTGTCCACATCCCCTCTATTTCCCTCTGGGGTCCGGTGTCCTCCTTTATGCACCTGCTGGCTGCCTCCAGGCACCTTCCAAGCAAGGTCTGCAGGAGCCTTTCCACCCCAGGCCCACCTGGTTACCCAGCAAACCAACAGTGGGGCCTGGATGACAGTGGATAGGAAGGAGTTAATTCAACACCTTTCCCAGGCAACTCATTTCCATCTCAGGGGGCCTGGAAGATACAATCGTTCCCAGCCATTTTGTTACCAAGGATTCCTTTCATTATTTATCCTCTTTCATCATTCCCACCTTCTGCTTTGAAAGGTTCTGTGTATCAAACAAACTGTATTTATCAAGAAATAATTTATTTGTTTTGCCATTTTGTAAATTAACTCATCAAAGCTGGCTAGAGCTACCAGTCAGCACTCCTGATCAGCAGAGATAAGAGTTGTGGAGCTGGATTGATGTAATTCTATCCCTGAGCAAAGAAATCTGCAATTTCAGTTGACCTGTGCAAGTATATGACTTGAAAATGTAGGATTTCCATTTAGATTTTGGAAATACTGGAAATGATAAGGCTTTCCCAGATCCCGTCTGGTCCCAGGACACTGAGTTGGGGACAACTAGCTTAAGTCAAAGGAGAGGAAGTGGTCGTTCTGCAGTGGATGTGTACACTGCAGCCTCTGAGACCCTTTCAGCTCCATCATTCTACGGAAAAGTGCCCTAAAGCCGTGCTACTCAAACTGTGGTCCCTGGACCAGCCACATCAGCATCCCCTGACATCTGCTCAGACATGCAGAATCCCAGGCCCCACCCTAGACCTCCTGTGCGAGAATCTGCGTTATAACAAGACCTCCAGGAGGTTAGAAAAAGCTCTGCCTTAATGGACTCTAGCTGGACCAGCCACATCAGCATCCCCTGACATCTGCTCAGACATGCAGAATCCCAGGCCCCACCCTAGACCTTCTGTGCCAGAATCTGCGTTATAACAAGACCTCCAGGAGGTTAGAAAAAGCTCTGCCTTAATGGACTCTAACAGTTTACTCTCAAGACACAGTGGCAACCAGAGAGGGATATGACCGGGGAGGTAGGGGTGGTGGCGGGAGGTTTTGGCCTCTCTCACATCAATCCATGCAGAGATCTTCCTCTTTCACCCTCCTTCCTTAACTGTGCAAGAGTAGTAAGAATCCAGGCCCTGCAACTCTTGCATGCTTGACCTGAGGTTTGTGAGGGTAGTTGCTGTGCAGGAGACAGGTTTGGTTTGTAGAGCATGTGGGAGAACGGTCCCGACCCTTGGAGGGTCATAGGGGGCCCGTGGGGTGGGATGGCCATGGGCGAGCAGCTTAGAGACAGAGGAGCAGGAGGATGTGGAGGCATCAGGCAGCAGCAGGCAGAGAGGCCAAGTTTGCTTTCCTCCACCTCGGGTATGGCCAGACCTCTCTGTGCTGTCGCCACCAGAGGGGTGGGAGGTGATGGAGCCCTGGTGGCCCATGGGGACTTCAGGATGCCAAAGCTGCTGTGTGGAGCCAGGAAAGCCTTTTTGTCTGGGTGGGACAGTGGCCACCTTCAAGATACAGCTACTAGGGCCGGCCCAGTAGCGCACTGCTACAGTGTGCCGCTTGGGAAGTGCGGCGGCGCTCCCGCCGAGGGTTCGGATCCCACATACAGACCGGTTCCCGCTCACTGGCTGAGCGAGGCGCGGAAGCAACACTGAGGGTTGCGATCCCGTTGCCGGTCCTGGTCCGGTACGGGGGCGACAC